TTGAAAACAATTATGATAAAATCTTTTATCAACATATATGTCTTTTTTTCAGTCCCTTTTCCTCAACAAAATAAATATCTTAATAGAAAAATTAAGTGGTAATTTGTTCATGATTGAATGAATGAATGAAATCAAACATTTAATGAACATTTACTATATTATTATTATTGAGGAAAATTTTATTGTTATAATTATCATTATTTTTTTATTTCCCAGCCCTAGCTCTTACACAAACCCTCTCTTCTTCTCTTTTATTCCAACCCTCTCATTTTCTCTGCAGGTTTACGCGTCCCGAGCATCTAGGAAGCAGTGCCAAAATTAAGTGCGGTGGTTGCCATAGTTACCAGGAGTCCACCAAACAGCTGACAATGAAGAAGCTCCCCATCGTAGCATGTTTCCATCTCAAAGTGAGTCAGCCAGTGACAGCGTGTTGCCAGCTATCACTTGTTACGTTATCTGTCACCGTCTGACAATTTGATTATTTAAGGCTACATTGAGCTCTTATCATTCACACGTCTAATTTTGTCCTTACTCTAAAACAGCTGATACAGTGGTGTTCTGTAAATAGGGCTGTGTGATGCGGTTTAAACAGCCATGCAAATATAGATGCTTTATTAATTTATTTTTTTTCCTATTTAGTTTAATTGCATAGCGCGCTCTCTCTCTCTCTCTCTCTCTCTCTCTCTCTCTCTCTCTCTCTCTCTCTCTCTCTCTCTCTCTCTCTAAAAATGAATGAATGAATGATTAATTGATTGATTGATCCATTTTACCTTGTGTGTATGCAGCCTTACATCTTATGGAGGCAAAGTTTTGCAGTGACTTAGTTGTCAGGTACATTGCTTGTGCATAGATTCGAGTCAGTTGTTGGTGCATTTGCTCCTATTGTGTAGCCCTTTCACACAGTGTCCCAGGACACCTCTGATTTTAATGGCTAGTACAGTTCTCCACTGTCTATGTTTTATTTATCATAACAGCATTGGAGGCCCATAATGTATTTATGATATTCATAGGAAAAGACTGCATGATTGTCTTAGATCAATCCAAGCCTGTGATTATCTTGTTGTGAATGCGTAAATGTATGGCAGCCAGGGTGGAAAACATGCATTTTCAATTTTCACTAGCTGCGTTTTTGTTTTGTAATGATGCTGTTATTTCTAAATATGTTTCTTCTCCCCTCCCCCCACGCTCTCTTTTTCCATTTTTCTGCCCCTTCCCCCTCTCTCTCCTCTTCCATCCTCCCTTTCTGGCCATCCCCAGCGGTTTGAGCACTCTGCTAAACTGCGGAGGAAGATCACTACATATGTTTCCTTCCCTTTAGAGTTGGACATGACGCCCTTCATGGCATCCAGGTAGGCCTCCACCTCTGGTCCTGCCAGTGTTCACATCCAGACAGAAATACACTGATGTTTAAAAAAACAAAAAAAACAAAAGAAAACCCTGGAGCAGCTCATTTAACTGGTTTATTTGTAGTTGATTTATTTTATTATGTTTGCACTTGTATGATACACTATACATACTGCACACATCTGCATCAATGCCAAAATATCATTATTAAATGCTCCCTATGAATATGTACTAGTGTCAGTAGAGCATGCAGCAGCAGTCTTGCCCCACCCGTGACTGTAGCATCCATTCAGCTCTGTTCAGAGACAGAAAGATCATTAGAGGAACAGGCAGGCAGGATATCAGCTTTCATAGATGGGGTAATTCTGCCACCTAGTGGATTGATGTGCCGGTGTAGCATGTTTACACACACACACACATGCAGCATTATAAATGCTAACATCTTGGTGTGCCTCTTCTGTCCCCCGCAGTAAAGAGAGCAGAATGAACGGGCAGTATCAACAGACTGTTGATGTATTAAACAACGACAATAAGTGAGTACCTTGGGAAACGTGTGTTAACAACAAACTGATTTGTTAACACTCTGCCACTTCACAGCAGCACTGCAAATGGGACATAGTAAAAATTTCTCCTTCAGCACAGCACCACATCCTAATGACCTGAAGCATCCGACTGTGACTTCCCCAAATTAAATCAATTTGAAGCCTATTAAAAGCTGCTTAGTTTTCTTCATCCATGGCAGTTACAGTAGCTTTCATATTCCGGGACATTTACGTGGGAATTTACTGTCTTAAACACCATGACACATTGCTTGTAGTAGACACAAGAGTCAGTATGCTCTTTGGTGAGGCTGCTAATACACACAAAAAGATCCCAAAAGAGCAACAGTGTGGGGCTTAAGACAAACGAAGGCACCCATGTGTGGGGAGGATAATAGGGGTTTATGATATACTTGTGTTAAAGTGAAGTCGTCATTGTCTTTTTATTTCCAGGTATTCCTTGTTTGCGGTGGTCAACCATCAAGGCACATTAGAGAGTGGCCACTACACCAGCTTCATCCGCCAGCACAAAGACCAGTGGTTCAAATGTGATGATGCCATAATCACTAAGGCCAGCATTAAGGATGTACTCGATAGTGAAGGGTAAGAATGGAAACAGCACATTAGCAGTACAGCAACATTTTATACAGTATGAAATCTAAATCCAAATTTTCTCTTCCCGTCCCCGCAGGTATCTCTTATTCTACCATAAACAGTTCCTTGAGTATGAGTAGTCTTTGTGACCACTGACCATGAAGAACCACTGCTTCTAATGAAAGAGTCAAGGGACTGGGGGACAAGATGAAACAAACACACAAACCTACCTGAAACTCTTTGACTACCAGTCTTCTCCTCCGCCTCCGGAGGACAAAAGGAAAAAGACGTGTGAAATCATGCAACCTTTCAAAAGGAAAAAAACAAAACAAAAACAAGCACTGAGCTACTTCTTGGCATCTACTTGACAAAACTGAATGAAGAGGAGAGAAGGAGGAGGAAGCATCGGGCGTCGCCAATTCCAGACTTGGGCAGAGGGAAGAGGCCCCACACCCCTCTCTCTCTCCCCCCTTTCCCTTCCTGCTGCAGGGGCAGAGTCTGAGCGTGACCGTCCGTCACGTTGATTGGGCACATCTGGATTTTTCTTACAGTATTCTGACCCCCTCCACCCATCCATCCACCCACCACTCCTCCATTTCTCTCCCATGGTGCTGTCGTTTCAACTGACCAAGCATTTAGTCATGATTGAGGGCAGTTTGTTGTCATATGCATATGGGACTGAACGCAAAAAAAAAAGAATAGAATCAATGTATTATGAACTTTGCAAGAACATTTTTAAAGGTATGGTTATGATTCTTTTCATTTGTGACTTTAGTTATGGAATACTGTATGGATCTAGTATACATCTATTTTTTAAGAGCATAGAAAACATGGGAGAGCTTAGAGACGCTGCCTTTGCCAGTTGCCAAGGAAGTGCTACCATGGAAACTAAGCAGATTTGGACCCGAGTGTGCTCATGTTCCATTATTTACTGTGTTGATTGTTTTATTTTTAAGTCTGGTTGAGGGCAGGGAATATCTATTTTTTTTTTTTTTTTAGAAATTCATTGAAATTTGAGTTTTGTTTACTGTTCTTTTCAGTCTATTATTTTTTTTATATATATATATATATTTTTTTTTTTACATTCTCAGTACTGTCATATGTCCCTCGCTGTCCTGGTACTGGAAATGTTTTTGGACGTATTATGCTTTCATTCTTGTGGAATTGTTGGTATAATGATGATGGTGGTGGTGATTAAATTGGCTCACCTTTTGCTGTTTATGAATTGTATGTTGAATGTGAGCTTTGGGTTTTGTATGTCATTCTGAAGAGAAAGACTACAATACATGAACTCCAGATGAGGTCCAATAATATGTGAGAATGCTCTGGTCTCTCCTCCTTGAACACCTTGAATGATCTGTGCAAAACAAAGCCTGCATGCCACTGGGCTCTCATGATCTTATAATATGTGAAAAATTGCCCTCAGTAATGCCTCAAGGCCCGCTGCCCATCATGATTATTGCCCTGTAGTTTAGGGATGGAAAGACGGTTCATGTGAGATGAGATGTATAGAGGGTAAAACAAAATATGGCCACTGTGCGACCACAGCCTGGCTCTGAATCCATCAGTGTTAATCTTCTCCATGGCAACTGTGTGGCTGGTGTAGACCGGTGTGGTTCGTGGTGTCTTACCTCTGCAGTGCAGTAAACCCAGTGCTCTATTCAATCAGTATGCTGTCAAGTCAGACTTTAGATTATGCACATACACATCAGGGTGTTGTGGTCTGTTTTTGTTTGAATATCACTGAATGTGTATGTATAAAAAAAAAAAAAAAAAATCACTCATGTATAAGATGAGGGCTCTAACCTATCACAAAATAATACCACATAAAAACCACAACCCCTGGTTGTTTAGCTGCTCTGTAATTGAAAACAAACATGCATATCCTTTGGTCTGCTGCAGGACCTCAGCTAGAGGGCAACAGTGGGTTTCTGAATAGTAAAATCAAAGACTTGTACAATGGTTGCACTATGGTTTTGATGTATCATGGAGCAGTTAAGGCCACCCAAGGACATTCAGGGACGCAGCTGAAACGAAAAGGAAGAGGAGAGCTTCATTATCCGTTTCAGTGATTAAACTCAGAACAAAACTGTAATGTGTATGTGCTTTATTTTGTCTTTATTTCTATTCCAGTTCCCTTCATAAGGACAATATATTTCCCAGAACTGAAGCGCTGTGGTCTCTGACCCATATGTCTCTATTAGTGGCGTTAGAAGCGGTCTGCTTTAATAAGAGCCCTGTCATACTGTCAGTGCGGGCCTACTCTCATGGTAGAACAAGGAAACGGAATGTTTTACTTACCAAGAGTTGATTGGCTGAATTGAGTGAGACACTGCAAACCTGTACTGTGGCCTTTCCACTAAAACTCTGTGATGGATTTTGGTCTTGGAGCAACTGTAGTTATGCATGATTTTATGGCGCCACTGTGTGGGCAAGCCAAGAAGTTCAGATGAGGTCTGAAAATAAACAACATACAAATCAAATCAGGATTGTGTGTATATAAACACATTTCAGACTGAGAAAATGTAAAGACAAGGAATTTATACATGAGTGAGCCTTGCAATAAGACTTTTTTTCTGTTATAACATACTGTACATTTCTACAGTAATTAGCAGCAGGCATTTACATTACCAAATTACATGTGACATGCTTAAATTTGTACATGTGATTCAAACAACTTGGTGAAATAATTCTCGAAGAAGATCTAAACTTTTAATTTAATGTAAACATGCAATATTTTAACATTAATATAAAAATGGCTTTTTATTTAAATGTTGTGTATCTTTTTATTTTTTCACAGAGAGTGGCATTTGACAATATTTCACTAAAAGAAAAAAAACTTAATGTAACTTATTACTGACTTTATTTAGTTTCAGCACAAGTATACACAATCTTGGTTTGCTCCATTAATCTTGATTCAGTATATTCAATAAGAACAGGAACTGGAAGAACATATTTAATGCAAACTTTCCACGGAAACAGTAAACCTTTAACATAGCATTTGAGCAATTGAAATAAGTCTCATCACTAAAATTACTCTAAACCAAAACACAGATGGAACAAATACTAGGTGGAAATGCAGCTATTCAAAAAAAAAAAAAGCTGCAAAATAAACTATTAGCATTGTTGTAAGAAAAGTCTTTGCTGGAAATGTAATTACTACAATAACTCCACAACAGTTGGTTGATATTGTATAACGTATGCGTGTCCAGTCTGGATTAACAGTAACCAATGACATTGTGTTCTCTAAAGTAAGGTGTTTGGTTTGTTTTTACATTTAATACTGCACACTAACACAAACTATACATTTTAATCAGGTTTAATGTAACTGAGGTGTTTGGTTTCACAGCGCGCTGGATGGTAGCCTTTATTTATTTATTTTTCTTAAGTCATCTGAGCAATGTCTATATTCATAATTCATGTCCAGAGTCATCTCTATATTACTGTTATCCTAATGAATGTAACCATGGGACTAACGCTCTTGGTCACTGTTGCTATGGAAACGCACTTGAGGTGTATCAAGTCTTTCAGCGGTAATGAGACATCACAGGCCAGGTAACAAATTCAGATTGAAGATTGGATAGGTGTTGAATATAAATATCATGGATGTGTGTGCTTCTGTGTATCTTGTAAGACAGACACATGAAGAAATTATATATCTCAAAACAACATGCTTAGAGTGGTTTGTATGTTTTGAATATATATATACATTTAAATATCAACAGTAACACATATACCTCACGTTTTTGAAAGATCAATGCGACACACACACACACACACACACACACACATTCAGGATTCTTTTTCACATTAATCATAATCTGTCACAGGCTTTGGTGTGTATGAGGGAACCGGCATATGTAGGGTAAAGGTCGAATAACTTATATAGATGGTAATCTGACTACGGCAACAGACAGGGAGTCACAGGATGGACTGTGGACTCCTGGAGCAGCAGAGTGATGACGATAAAGGAACACCAGAGCCTCTTGAGGATAAGTGTTCTAGCCCTTTTCAAATTCACATTTCTCAGGCACCCGGGGACAGAAACCACACTTGAAATGTGGCCGCCCAAAATGCCACAGAGGATGAGGAGGATGGGCGAGCGTCAGCATACAAAGTGTTTACAAGTAGCTCTCAATGGGAGGCAGCATAGGACATCTGAAGCCCATTGTATTCTCCAATCAGTCCAAAAAAAATTAGAGAAACAGAGAAGTAACCAAAGAGAAACAACAGACTGTAATACAACAAAGTGAAATTACAATAAAGTGAACATTTCTTAAAATCCAATTTTTTTACATCCTGCTTAAATGTCATTGCACTTCCTCAGTACGACCAGAATAGTGACCCATCCACTTTGTATACCTGTATTCAAATACAAGCAAACAGAGTCATTATTATTATTATTCTCTCTGTAGCTTATTATTAAATCATTTTATCATTTTATAGATGACTCTCAGATGACATAAAAAACATGAGCCACTACTCAGCATTCATATAGAACAATTTAGAATCATGCAGTCTGGCATTTTGTGATAAATGCAGCTACTGTGACAACTGCAAACTCACAGCAACATTATTACAAGGTATACATAAATTATGTAAATAAGCCGTTAATCCAGTAGAAGCCAGGATACAAAGACATTACTTAATATAATACAACATTATTGTAGTTACTATACATCTTAGCAGCACTTTGGTTAGAGTCTGACCCGCTATATCGACCGAGCCAATATGTAATATAAATTATGCATGTAGCTATAATGAAGCAGCGAGGAACACAGTGAAAAGATTTGCCCATTGACTGATTATTGACTGTTTACATTTGATGCACATCTATCACAAGTAAAATTGGTCACAGATCACATCAGACAGTTTTACTACAGAAGACCAGAATCAATAGCACTGACATTCATTACGTTCTGTGTCTGGGAAAAAAAAATTTCAGTCAGATTTGCAGTTCCAAAACTAAATACAACTACATATAAAATGCTCTGACTCCTTATACAGTCTCTTTGCCCATTCTCTGTACAGTCATTTACAGTCAAACCACCCTCCGTAGAAAATAACCTGCAGGCGAGACAGACACAAAAATAGAGGAATGATTAGGTTGCCAGTTTTAAGAACAGTATGTTGTTTCGCAGCGTATGTGCACACTGTTATGTTGTTATATTTGCACAATACGGGACTGTGGAAACTTGGCACAGGCCCTCTGCTGTAAACTGTGTATATAATCCTGGGTCTCCAGGGAAAATTCATGTCCACCAGGGGACCAATTGCAAGTGGGCCTTACCTCAGAGTTAATACACTGAGAACAAACAGTCAAACAGATTTCATATTCATTTAAAAGCACAGAGCAAACACCTTTGCAATTATGTTATAATGGATTTGTTTACAGCCAGGGAAACCCAACAATGTGTCAAAGGCAGACAGCGGATCAGTGTAGTTCCACATTTGTTTGTTATTCTTTTCTGCTGGTGCTTTGTCCTCCTTAACAAGGGACATGTTCCTCTCTAAACTCCTTGTTTAATATTTAATCATGTCATCTTCCTCTCTAAGAGCTGATTGTTATTTATTATTTCACAGAGAAGGCCGTCTGTCTGTGCACATGCAAGTCCTATCACCTTCCTCTCAGATGCTGGTCTGGAGGTCGCCATTCAGCAGAGTACTTTGGGTCTCCGTGGGGTCATTCATCATGCGAGACTTATCCTGCCGGCTATCGCTGCGGTCAGCCTCATCCAGCCCACCCACCTTCTTAAGACATAAAACATTCTGGAAACTCTTCTTGAAGTTCTCCGACAGGAAGGCGTAGAGGATGGGATTCGCGCAGCTGTTGGCATATCCCAGAACCACCACGAAAGCAAAGGTGCTCCTCAAGATGGGAGTGGTGCTGATGGTCCCCGTCACCGAGGTGACGTTGAAGACATAGAAAGGCAGCCAGCAGAAGACAAACACTGCCACCACGATGGACACCATCCGAGTTACCTTCCTCTCTGAGCGCTTCCTCTTGGAGGAGCCCACGCGGATACCTGAGGACTTCACCTTAATGATGATGAACAAGTAGCAAAGGCAGATGACCATGAGGGGCAGGAAGAAGCCCAGGATGAAGGTATAGAACATGAACGCTGTGTAGTAGGCCTCTTGAGGCTCAGGCCACACGATGGTGCAGAAGCAGCTGTCGTGCTTTGCGATGACGCCGCTGTAGATAACAATGGGCAGGTTAACCATTAGCGACACCCCCCACACTGTTAAGTTAATAGTCTTGGCCATGCGTGGCTTGCGCCACTTTGTGGACCTAATGGGATGCACCACAGCCAGGTAGCGGTCGATGCTCATGACCATGAGGCAGAAGATGGATGTGAACTGGTTCAGTGAGTCGACGGTCATCACCACCCTGCAGAGCACAGGACCAAACGGCCAGTGGACCAGCGCCAACTGGATGGCGATGAACGGCAGGCCAAGCATGAAGAGCACGTCAGCCACTGCCAGGTTGAGGATGTAAATGTTGGTCACTGTCTTCATCTTGGCGTAGCGCAGGATGACGTAGATGACGAGGGCGTTTCCGCAGAGTCCCACGGTGCAAACTAGAAAGTACATGCAGGTGATGACCACCGTGCTGGTTCTGTTGAAGCTGTGGTCTGTGTAGTTCCCGTGGAGGTCGGACTCATTGCCCTGCATGAAGCTATCATACATGAGGTGCTCCGACAGGTTCGGAGGAGACGATGGGAAGATCCAGGTGTCCATGATAGCTTACTGTCTCTCTCTCTTGTCTCACGTGGATTACAGCATCTCATCTGCACACATAAGGACTTCTGTCAGTAACAGTGGGAAATACTTGACCTGACAGTTTAATAGTAACAGTTTAAAAACAGTTTTAGTCTAATCAACAATCATTCCACTTGATCGGATTTTGACATTGAGTTTTTGTTTTCCAGAAGATCAGAGATATTGAATGTGATCTCCGTTCCTTCCTCTAGTCAGACCACTTGCTGAGAGATGTCTGTTGAACCAAATTATGTGAATTACAACACAGCACATGAGTGACGAGACACTAAACAGTAATCTCTGTGATGTCGGTCAGAACAAAAGGTTTTCCTTATAGCACCTTTCGATGTTACAGTATGATTATTTATGTCCTTTTGAAAAAAAAGAAAATGTTCTTTTTGTTGCGGTAACTATGGGGATTTTATAGATTTTGTATCTGAATCTTATTTTTTGAGAACAGACTGGACTGATAGCATGTGAAAAGAAGAGCACCTCAGCATCAGTGCCTTCTACATGAGGCCTGACATTCCTCGTGTGTGTCAGGCACTGCTACCAAGGGAAATCACTCTGCCTACGACACAACAGTCGTAAGTTCTCCCTTGGGAAATTCTTCACATGTTGCTAAATGATCGGCTGCGACAGCTAACACTGAATTCTCTGCTGACACGTTTCTTCTATTTATTATGGTGTGGGCACGGATGTAAATTAATCCCAGCCTAAGTAATTGAATGAGGGGCATCACTGTACTGCCAATAGCCTCGCCAAAGTCAGATTTAAGTGCTTGTCACTGCCAGTGCACAGTAGGCAAACGTGGCCTGACAACTTCATTTGGTGCCAATAACATAAGAGGTTTTATTATGCCAGTTTATCATTTTCACCATGGCAGCAGGACAGGGTGGACACTCCCTGGAGTCTTGTTTTTGTTTTGAATCAGCGACCACGTTTATAAAGGGGATCTTTGAGCTCAGTGAAAACATCGTCTGTTTGTCTATAAATGTGGATCGCCTGAGTCAGGTGGACAGACAGACTATTGTCTAATGGAATGGTTGAAATCCCATTGGCAGCAACGTATTTTGTTTGTGTTGCATATTGGTAAACAAGATAATTATTTATTCAGAGACAGACTACTGAAATAAAACATAATGCCCTCTTCAAGCATTTAGTAGCTCGGTTGAGGTGAACAATAAATGGAATCTATCAAAAGTCCACAAGATCACTGTTGGTATGAGTAATATTTTGTCAATATTATTTTGTGACCTGTTAAATTGCTGTATTTGAGGCAGTGTGCATACTGTGCAACAGGTTTTATTTCTGAAAAAAAGGCAAAACCCCTCAGCCCAGAGCCATCACAGTCAAAAGAAAGTGAAAAATGTGGTTTGCCATCAGAGCAACTGGTGAAATAATATTTTAATAAAGTGGCTATTATAAGTTATTTGTGTTTTGTCTTTTTCATGATGTATTTTTCATTTTTCCTGTTCAGGGCCATGAATTCAGCTCTAACTGTTGCTTTTAGCGGTCAAAAGGTAGGTAATGGATATTCAGTTGAATACATTATTACATGCACAGTTAATCATGCAAATTCAGATTATGAAAAGTAAAGTGAGAATGAGGTCAAGTCCAGGAATTTCATTGGAAATGTTAGCAAACTCTGCCCAGACACAGTTGAGGATTTTGTGGCATGATATCACATTTGCTTCAAAACACAACACATTAGCAATATCATTTTACCATTAAAACAGCACACTGGGAAACAATGCAACAACGCTATATAGGCTGGGGTTAGTGCTTAAACACATTTTTTCAACCCTAATTTGAGTTAAATGTTTACATTAATCTGGTAATATTATATCTGAACATCTGACATGTGCACCTGTGCCTATCAATCACTTAAGTATCGTCTTACCTGCAACTAGATTTTCACTAAACTACGCCACTTCTGAACGGATAGAAGTATTTCAGTCTTTACGGCAGATTCATCTTCTTCATCTGCAAATATTCCTCAAGTTTGTCTCAGCGGCATCGAAGAGGAGATCCTCTCTGCAACCTGATTTTTCCTTTTAATAAGCCCATAATGTAGCCTGCCTGACGCGCTTGGATGAAAAGGACAAAAAGGTTGGACAAGCAAAGCAAATTGGCTCCGCACAATGCTCCGATGTGCTCGTACAGTCTTTGCGCGCCGTGACTGCTTCCAACTGAAGAGCGCCGATATGTTAAAGGGGCGCGTGGACAGCGCTGAGGAGGTGCTGAAGAGACTCACCCCTGAGCGAAAGAGAGACTGTCACAGCTGTGATATAGCATATATCAAGTCCTGCATACAGATGGAGTCATACTTTTCATGGAGCACACATTTGAATGGCATCTTTAGAAATGCACTGACGCACGGAGTGAAAGACCTACAGCGCTTGTTGATCGTTGAAGTGGTCACTAAAACTTAAAAAGATATCAATTTAAACTGACAGCCGTTAACAATACGAAACACAGTAAGCCTTTTAGGCATGTCTGGATCAAGGCTCACTATAACTTTTGTTTCCAATAATCCAGCCAAATGCTTGTTTGTCAAAATTTACACTGACTTGTTTCTCACAAGGGGTCAGTGGTGATGGCCGAATCCAACTGACGCTGTTTTGTAAAACCCAGGAAATCCAGAATGCTATTCCGTTCGACCATGTGGACTTTCAGAATCAGACATGACAATTAAAGGTCCATTTATCAAAGTTAGATGACTGGTGTTTTTCTAAAAAAAATGCTTCAACTTAGCTTCCAGCCATCAGAGGCAGCACTGAGAGCAAAGATGAAGAGTAGCACTGAAATTACGCGCCGTGAAAATCCCACATAGGCCTACGCCATCTGAGCAAGTTTGATCGTTTCATGAATAAGCTAAAATAAGGTATGTGAGAAGGGATGCACGCGTCGACATGGTAGTCTCTCCGCGTTGTAGTGGTTGCTGCTTACTTACATTAGCTGCACCCAGACCTCGGATTTCCTGATTTTCTCCAAACAGATTATGGTGGCCAGTAAAAATCCCAAAGCCAGTCCTCTAAACATCCCTTCAGCATACTGTTTGTAATGATGCAGAGGCCATGTCCATGCTTTTCAACACTTCAGCTCCCTTCTGTATGAGTGCAGTTTAATCTGCCTCACAGGTAAGGTGCTTCTCAATATCCCTTAAACTGGTGTGTTGGTGTTATGTTACAGTCATCATGTAAATGCAATCCAAAGTTGTGTAGACAAAATTAATGTGTTTGAACTGTAAAGACAAAGCTGTGATGTAGCAGGGTGTCATGCTAAGTCGCATTTGACATTTGCTATGTGTCTGAGAGTGAATGTGTGTGTGCAGCAATTGTTCATGTAGAGATTTTTTATTTTTTAGAAGTTTTATTGGCAACTGATAAATTTAAGGGGCATTGGTTAATACTATGGCAATACAGGTGCTGTCCAAGTTTCTTTAAAACTGCATAGAGGTGAATCTGCTGCAAAGCTGTGACCACTGAGCCGACAGCAGTCGTGACTGTTTTATTATTATTTATATCTGATGACAAATGCCACATCAGTCAAGCTGGAAGTCTCATCTTTCTATGAAAGCAGCTGCTCAGCTGTCACTGCAAACTTCTCTGCGACATCAAAAGTCAAAAGGTCCTCCACACACCTCATCACCTCAGTAGGGATGCTGAAGTGTTTTGCAGATTTGCAGTTAGTTGTGAGTGCCTCCAAGAAGCCTCCATCACTCCAGTTACAACAGGTGAGGACATGTGAGGAGTGGGTTATAGTGTAGGGAAGTGAAGCCTTTATGTAAATCAGCAGACAGAAGGGTCAACTTCTTTTGACGTCTTTTGGCAAGCAGCGTCTGTTTTATACCTGACTTGTAGGTCCTTAATAAGTTGATTCATATGGTAGAATATGTGAGGTAACTTATTATTTCTCTTGTTGTTGAGGAAGATAAGATAGAGATGGGTTATACTTCTTACTTTCCAGTTCTGGGAAATTAAGGTTCTTGTATTTTCATCATAGGCTTATTACTTGTCTTTGTCTTTTATAATTCACTTGAGCCCTCTAAGCACTGAGTGATTCCACAATATTCTTCGGCCAAATAATTAAATGAGAGCTGGAAAATTAGCAAAACAAACCTCAGCAAACTCCCATAGTTTTGCACAACTGTCAGAGAGAGACAAAACAATGGGAGTTTGCTGTGGTTTCTCTCACTCTCTGTGTGGAGGTTTTGTGTTGACATGAACCCTGCGTGGTGAAGGTGAAAAGTTCACAGGGGAAATTAAACAGGAGGGGAAGCATTACAACAATCAATGATGACCCATTAACTTGATGGATAGACAAATTTTGCCGTGACATTTGAACATTGACATTTTATTATATTTTATATATATATATGCTTATTAATAACACAAACCAAAAGGAGCCTTCAGGTATTGTTTGTATCAGTATTGCTGCAGAATGAAACAAGCATGCCAATACGTATTGACATTGAATGATGTCCGGTGTGGCTTCTTCATGGCTCCCTGTCCCTGGGTTGATTAGTTCTGTGTTACTTTAACTGAAAGCTGTGATATAATGCAGTTGAGAGAATGTCAAGCTCGGGTGTTTTTTTCCTTTCTAATTACTGAGGCATGACCAAGCATCTCTCAGGTTCAGACCCTGAATTGAAAGCATTGATTATACATCCAGCCAGGGTAAATTGACAAACAATTAGTAGACTGAGGCAGCAGCAAAATATTCTCTGAATGCTACTGATGCTTTTGGCATTTTTGTAATGATTCTGCTATGAGAAAAAAATCAAATAACCAGGTGTTCTGAAAGGTATTGCTGCAATATGTTAGCACATGACAAAGGTATTATGTTCTTCAGGGGCCTCAAGCAAACCTTTTCTCATTTTCAGATTCATTGAGAGAGGAATAAGACTTGGAATTTGATCGAATGGATCAAAGTTGGTGTTGCTTTTTTACCATTGTTGGTGATTTGCCAGATACTAGGTGCAGTGCATTTAATAATGTCTGTTTTATGCTACCACAGATATAGTGATTGTCCTCTTTTTTGGAGATGCTGGATGTTTTTGTCAAGGACTGCTCCTTCCATCCACTTCATGTAATATTACTGTTGAATGAGTCACTTCATATATTTTTTTCTGTCCAATTTATTGTAATGTCACTTGTAATGACTCAAAATGTAACTTCATAACTTCCCGTCTCATCTTTTCTTGTCAGGGTGTAACGTCACTAGGCTACTGACATCCTGATCATTCACAGTTTGAAAGCTGAAGTTCGTCTTTCATTGAATTCAGATCTCTTCTATCTTATTTTTATTATTATTATTATTACTATTATTAAAACAACATATCGTTTACTCTGCTATAGGGCTGCAACTAATGATTATTGATTCATCTGCTAATTATTGTCGTGATTAATGATTTTGTAAAATGCCACATTATTATTTCCCAGAGCCTAAGACGTCACTTCAGACCAAAACCCCAAAATACAGTGGTGTGGAAAAGTGTTTGCCCCCATTCTGATTTCTTATTTTTTTGCATGTTTGTCCCACTAAAATGTTTCAAATCATCAAACAAATTGAAATATTAGACAAAGATAACACAAGTAAACACAAAATGCAGTTTTTAAATGAAGGCTTTTATTATTAAGGGGAAAAAAATCCAAACATGGATTGGATTTTTTTTGATTGACCCCTAAACCTAATAACTGGTTGGACCACCCTGTGGAGGAATTTTGGCCCACTCATCTTTATAGAATTGTTGTAAATCAGCCACACTGGAGGGTTTCTGAGCCTTAACCACTTTTTTAAGGTCATGCCACAACATCTCAATCAGATTCAGGTCAGGACTAGGCCACTCCAAAGTCTTCATTTTGTTTTTCTTAAGGTGGACTTGCTGGTGTGTTTTGGATTATTGTCCTGCTGCAGAACCCAAGTGTGCTTCAGCTTGAGGTCACAAACAGATGGCTGAGTATTCTCCTTCAGGATTTTTTGGCAGACAGCAGAATTCATGGTTCCATTTACCACAGCAAGTCTTCCAGGTCCTGAAGTAGAAAAACAGACCCAGACCATCACACTATAACACCATATTTTACTGTTGGTAGGATGTTCCTTTTGTGAAATGCTGTGTTACTTGTATGTAATGGGACACACACCTTCCAAAAAGTTCAACTTTTGTCACGTCAGTCCACAGAGTATTTTCCCAAAAGTCTTGGGGATCATCAAGATGTTTTCTGGCAAAACTGAGACGAGCCATTATGTTCTTTTTGCTCAGCAGTGGTTTTCTTCTTGAAACTCTGCCATGCAGGCCATTTTTGCCCAATCTCTTTCTTGTGGTGGAGTCATGAACACTGACCTTAACTGGGGCAAGTGAAGCCTGCAGTTCTTTGGATGTTGTTGTGGGTTTTTTTGTGACCTCTTGGATGAGTCGTTGCTGTGCTCTTGGGGTAATTTTGGTCGGCCGGCCACTCCTGGGAAGGTTCACCATTGTTCCATGTTTTTCACACCACTGTACTTAGCTAACTATATGTGAAGGAAAAGCAGAAGGAAATCCTCCCATTTAAGCTGAAACCAGTAAAAAAATTAATTTGGTTATTAAGATAGTTGCAGGTCAACACTATGTTGGGAGCTGTAGTTTGTGGTGCTGTTGAATTGTATTGCGTTATACTGATAGTTGTGTCAACACAGAGGATTTATTGCAGGACAGTTGCAGTAGACTGCATTTGTTATCATTTGGTAGATGTACCTAATAACCTGGCAACTGGGTGTCATTTGAAAAATTATTTAGAAGAGTATAACTTTTATAAGTTTAACTGTTGAACAGAGATATGTTAGAGGCATTCTAATATATATGTGTCAGCCACCCAGAGTTTTTTCTGTGGCAACAGTATGAAAGCAACAATCATCAATTTTGTTACTCTTTCATCGTGACTCTTATCAAAAAAAGCAGCCTCAGCCAACTTGTACAGTCTGCCCAATGTGTACTCTTTACACATTGCTGTTTATTTACATAAAATGTGTCTGGCTGCTATGATAAAGCCTGCTGAGGCTAACTCCCAGCTCCCAGGAGTCGCCATGTAGTCCACTGTTGATGTTTTTTCCACTTGGTCTGTTCACAACGTGAGCACTGGGAGAGGCAGAATGTTTAGTTAAAGTTAATTTAATCCTCATACCTCTGCTTTTGCAACATGCCCACAAAACACTGTCCTAACACACCTCCAGGACATATAGCGGTTTTGCCTTAGTCTTAGATTCTGACATAAACTACGGTGGTTATTCAACAATTTCTCATAAAACCTTTTTAAATAGCAGTTCTGTGAAGCTCATGACCTATAGTTTTTGACAGTGTGGTCAATTTTGAGGTACATCTGTCATTATTCACTCATAATGGAAGTTTTCTTCTTCCATATTCTTGAACACAAAGTCCACTCACAACCTTTTCCAGAGCTTTCATTTTTTTTGACATCGCTGTCTTTGAAGCCCATATGGTACATTTTGTAAGTGGTGATACCATAGTACTCTGTGTAGAACCATGTATTGAATTAGTCCAGCTGATCTGATAAGTACTGACCAGTGCAGACCGGGAACACCCCACAAGAGCTGCAGTTTTGAAGATGCTCTGACGCAGTCGTCTAGCCAACCCAATTTGGCCTCTATCAAAATGACTCATTACGCTTGCCCATTCATGGCTAGGCATCAGATTTCAGGACAAAATCTCCACTTGCTGCTTAAGATGTCCCACC